TGTCTGAATCTCAGTCTGAGTCCCAGTCCGAGGCCGAGTTCGAGTCCGAGTCTGATGCTGAGTCTTTCGTTGTCTTCCAACTGATCACTTACGCACATTTTATCACAGCCAGGCTGGAGACTCTGCTGCGAGCCTCCACCTCCAACTCCAGGCGGAGGCAGCATACCCTACCTCTTGCTGCTGCGCCTCTTGACAATAAGTGGACTCAACTTAAGGGGGTTTAGGGGGTAAACGAATGGAGGATACCTCTTAAAATTAAGGTGGCAATGGCAGGAAATATAAATATTTCTTTTAAAAAACTGAGGATCCCGAAGCTAGTCCAGAGCACTGAAAAGTACCTTCAGCATTGACTGACTTTCAGCTTTCTTTGCCTTAAAATTTTAAAAATTCTATGACAAATAATGCTAATTAAATATACCTTTTAAATATATATATTTATAGATAAGGCATTCAAATTCTTAAGTTAGTTACTAATTATTTAAAGATCATCTCTAGTTAGTTAATCAAGATATAAATCTCTATCCCAAACTATGGAATACCCCAAAACTACCCCTTAGTTAGCGGGTAGAAAAAAATAAGTTACCGTTCTACGCGCTGAAATTTGTTGTGCCATCGACGATCTGACGATCCCAAGCTGCTGTTTTCTGTCTCTGCTGGCTGTTCCTCATCTGCTGGAGCTTCATCTGCAGCCAAAGCTGAGGCTGATGGCTCCTCCGCCTGTCTGCGACGACCACGACAGTACGGTCCTCCTCGTCTGGTTGTGCAAGAACAAGCCTAACCAACTATCGATCGCCGGCAATCGATCAAGTATTTCGCGTACATTATCCGAGATGCGTGGGATAATTCTGTTCTAATTTGTGGAGGCCTCGAGTTTGTTTTAGCCCAACCTGACGTCAGTCAGTTAGTCGGTCCGAGCTTCAGGCCCGCCGTCTTGGATGCAAAGCACGCAGCCATACACCACCAATCTCTTTGTCCGTCTCTTTTTCGTGCGTTTTCATAATTAAATATTGAGTGAATTGAAATGCTACCGAGGAAGTTAGAACTAAGTGGGGGAGGAAGAGGCTTCCATACTTCCGCCCAGGCAGTGCCTGCACTTGTCACAGTGCCAAAGGCGTGCTGGCGATGAATGCAAATGAGATTGGGATCCGGTAATCAGGTGAAACGGTCACGACCTGTTAATCGTTTTATGATTGTAGCGGTGTAGCGGTGCTTTTGTTTCCTGTAGACGCAGCGGAACGGTACTTGAAGCCATTGAAAGCGGGGATAAAACCTAAGAAGCGAAAACCCAAAACCCAAATCCCCGACTGATGTCTGCTTTTCCTTTTGTTCCATTTCACCCAGAGAGAGAGAGCGAGGTAAAGAGGAACTCAATTTTATTTAAATTGTAACACAAAAGGCCCCAAGGCCTGGCCAAGTCAATTGGCCCGAAGAACCCGTACCCGAACCCGAACCCAAACCCGAACTCAAACCCTATCCCTATCCCGATCCCGAATCCGATTTCGATTCCGATTCCGTGCCCCAAACGCAATCCTTATGCGTTATTCATGAGGCAAGAAACATTGCGATCGCCTGTACCAATTGCCAATTGGTTCGACTTTGAGTTGGCTCTTGGCTCTCGCCGTTGGCGTTGGCGGTTTTCTGTGCCGGCTTTTGTCAATCTGCGGCTTAGTCCCCTCCGAGTTGGCATGCTTAAGTGGTTCATTGTCACCCCAGCGCCCAATTAGACACCTGAGTTTATTCCTTCTCTTCATTTTTTTTTTTTTTTTGTTTTTTTGTTTTTGGTGATGCAGCATGCATGCCACATGTGGCACGTTGTTTTTATTCAATCAGATATATTCATTGCGACCTGATCTTGAATCTCGCCTCTAAAAGGAGTGTGTTTTGTGGCTAGTTCTTGAGTTAGTGTAACAACCTAGTTTCTAAACTAATCGAATTTCTAATTTAAATAAGTCTTTGGGGTCTTGTTTCGTTTTGTTTTGTGAATTATGTATTTTAAAGAAGGTGTTGACATTTTGCTGACTCTATAATAAACTTGTTAGCTTAAGTTTTGATTTTAATTTTGGCTTAAAAACTATATTTATCATCTAGATAATATTCAAGTTGACACGATGATTTATTAAAAGAGAAAATTAATTACCTTTATTGCTTAAAGTCAGTTAATCCTATGCTCATAGTTTCTCAGTTCATCTTAGGACACATTTATAATAGTCTTGCTTGAATTGATTGTTAAATCAATAATTCTATTATTTTTAAACATTTTACTATGCCTTTAACTTCATTATTTCTTAAATTTCTTATCAGAATATAAATAAATATATAAACACATTTTATTTATGTAATTTTTTAACCCGCTTCCTTAACACTTTAATCTACGATAGGTTTATCTCCAAAAATCCACATTCCAATCCCCACATCCATCAGATACTTTCTTGCCTTTCCTCATGAATATACTAAATAAGACAAAATACAAAAAAATTTACATATTTCGACTATTTAAAACACTTTGGCTTTGGCTTATGGCAAATGCCCAAGTAGCTCTATAAATAGTAAAAAAGTCTATATATACATATATCGAAATACATATCTAGCTAGCCGGCTGCATGGGCAAAATCACAAAAAAATAGTTCAACATCGTAAATGGAACAAACTTTGTTCCCCGCTGGCTATAAATATTTTCGGGAATATACAGAATACCCATATAATCAGTCTTTGCCCAGTTTTTGAAGGTGAACTCGACAGGATTACATAATGCAGAATGCAGGAACAGGAGCAGCAGCAGAGCAGCCTCCATTCCCTCACGTAGATCGCCAAGCCAAGGCTCGCAAATAATTAAGTATTAGAAATGTTCAGCGGCAGAGAATTCCGTGGAAAATTCAATGACAAAAAAAAGAACCAGCAGCAGCAGAAGCAACAGCATGTTGCAGTTGTTCCCAGCTGAGCCTGGAGGAGCTGCGCTACGGCCCAGACAGGCTGACGTTCGCCTAGAAAGACAGCCGCACTGGAGCCACTGCCAGGGAGGCAGCTAGAGAAAGGGGCAGAGAAAGGAGGAGCATACTCGGGATCCAGAGGCTGCAGTCGACGGCCAACTAACCAATTAGTAAGCGCTGCACAGAACGCGTCTACAATTGTGAGAACCTTAGGCCAGGCCAAGCCAGGCCGTGTGAGTATGATGAAATGTCAGCAGGAGCAGCGGCAGGAGCAGGCGATGCAGCGAAGAGCACTCTGAAAAATAGGGGGTGGTAATTGAATATTTATTATATATATAAAATTAAACGAAGAATCACTTAGTCAAGTATGGCCTCCTTTTTTTCAACTGCCTAGGGAATAAGCTTTGCAAAAGGATCTAGAATTCTGCTAGCTATTGTAACATATTTTGGTTGGGGACTAAAATAATTATACAAAAATCTTTCTATATTTAGGGATCATAGTTAGCTTTTGATTTTGGTTTTTAAAATCAGATGACTATTATGGCAATTATAGATTTAAAATTAAACTATTTCAGTTTGAATTAAAACCATTTCAGTATATTACTGAAATAAAAAAATCTTCTAAATCACATTTAACCCAAGAAACATATCATATTTTCCCCTAAATTATTTTCTTTACAAGACATCCTTAACCTTTTCTCCCAGTGGCCTTTGGGGGGGCAGTTGAACCCCAAGACCGGGTGCCCGCTGCGCGTATCGATCCTTATATGAGCCAGAGGCCAGCGGCAAACGTTCTATTTTGACAGTCATTATGATTAATTTAAATCATTAGGCAGCCCGGGCAGGTAGACAAACCATCGCGGAGATGGACGAGCCGCGAGTTCCTATATTTCATTCTAATTAAATGCACGAGGCGGCGGGGCGACATCATCGACATTGGACATCATCCTTGTCCTGGCAACGGGCTCTAGCTCTGGCTCGGACTCGGGACCGGGACCGGGACTCGGACTGGGGGCCCAGACCTGGCTTATTCGCGGAAGAGACAAGCTGGCGACAACGACACCGATGGCTGGAAAAGGCAACGATGACCATTTGCAGCTGGGGGAAAAGTCGCAGTCGCAGTTGCAGTTGCTGTTGCTGTTGCAACCGAGGAATGCATCATCGAGGAGCTCAGCTCAAGCTGGAGGAGATGGAGATGGAGATGGAGCCCCCGGGTGAGTGTATCGATGTATCGAAATGTACTCATCCATCGGTGGCTATATCTCCTGCTATCTGTTAGTCACTGCACGTGGCCACCCTCTCGCACTGCCCTGCCTCGATGATGCCTCGCTCGCTCGCGGGGCAGAATTTTCTTGCGAACCTCTATTTAAGGACATGGCGAAATACTCGTGCTCCTGTGTACAAGTGGGGCCCACCACGCAAATCCTCTAGAGCATTCTGACCATATTGGCCGAGCTCACAAAAATTCCTGGCATAGTTTAAGTGTATCGCTTTTTGTTGTCGCTGCTGCCATCGTCTCTCGTGGGGACCTCAAATGTTGTCGATCGATAAAGAGAGGAGAAATAAACTAAAAAAATAAGAAACAATTACAAAAAATCACAAATTAAGCTGCTGATAAGCCCCGCGTAAAAAAATGGCGTACTTTGTAATTACAAAACACAATCACGAACGTTTCATGGGGGAGGAGCTTGCATTTGTAGGGGCTTTTCTCGTCATATTTCATTCCGTTCCGATCTATGCGCCTGCGCGGCGAATGAGTATGCATATCGCGGGGAGGGGCGTGGCGAGAGATACAGATACAGATACACGCTCGCCGTATCCGCCAGATATATCTAATTAATTAAGCCATAAACATAGCCGCCTCTGCAAAATGAAAGACGAAATACCCCCACCGCGCTTATATACTCCCCCAGTGGTGAGCGAAGACTGGGATTGGAAGAAGTCTCTTTGGAGAATTCTCTTTTAGAGAAGAGAGCGTGGAAGAGAGAAAACCGGTCCGGGCCAAGTTTGGAATATCGAACGAACGTCGTCGCTGTTTATACACCGCAGTTTATTAGGTGATTGCACGCCATCTGAAGCACAACGCCAGCCATCGATCGCTAGTTTAGCCCTCAGCTCTCTGTATTTTCCGTTTTCCGAATCGTATTTGGAATGAACCACAATAAAATCGCCACAAATAAAGCAAACAGCAGTCCAAACAAGTGCCGCCGAGCGACGACAAATAAGCTAAACTAAATGCAACACATTCGGAGAGCAGCGCCAACAAATATCCAAATATAATTTCTATAATAACCGCGCACACGAAAAATCAAAACAACCCGAGTCCGACGCAGCTGAAAAAGGATTTTCGATAGACTCAAGCTTAAATTAAACAAAATAAATCAAACTTGACTAAACTCGAAATAAAACGAGATAAAGGAGACTTTGAATAAAAATCTACAAAAATAAATCTCAAAAACAAATAAATAAAACAAGCAAATAAAACATTTTTCTATAAATCAGATAAACAATAAATTAAAGCCAGAAACAAACCACATATAAAAGCAGAAAGGATTCATTAATCAATTTTAATAAAAACAACCAAGGAGCTACAAAAGAAACATTAAAAATACAAGAAATAACTAAATTTTATAAATAAATACAAATTATTAAGGAACTTTTAAATTCTTTTTAGAATTTATTAAACTTTGAAATAAACTAAAACCAGTAGAAAACCTTCTTAAAACTACAAAAGAACCAAAACTTGTTAAGCAAATACCTGGTAAATCTCAATAAAAATGAACTGAAGAACTACTCAAAATCACAAAATAAAAAATCATACAAAACCTAAAACCACAGAAACATTAAAAACACAATAGTTGCAACATTCAACTTCTTGAAATTCAAATTCGAGCGCCAAATCAGCACTGCTTCGCAACACTCGAGCGCTACATCCCTGGTTTCCGCCGCATTCCAACACTGCAGGACTGTCAGCTGGCTGTCAATTTGCCAAGCGAACCAAGTCTGTGTGCGAGCCGTGTGTGTGTGAGTGTTGCAAAACGTCGGCGTTGCACTAAATCTTAAATTCGCGTTAAATTCTGGTTAAAAGGCGGCCAATTAGTTGGTTATCTGGGGGAATAAACCCGGCTGAGCAGTTAGCAGCCCCCAGGCGGAGCCAGCCCAGAGCAGCAGCCCGCGCCAGCAGGCAGGGAAAACGCCAGCCAGCCAGCAGCCGCCGAATCGCGTTGTGTGCGCGGTGTGTGTTTTGTGTGTTATTTTTGGAATTAAAGAGCGATCCGATCCGATCCGAGGCAGCGCGCAGGAAGGTGGCGGCTGGGAAAGTGTGCCGCGGCCGGATCTCCTCTCACAGCTACCGAAAAGGTAGCAATAATAGACGCGCGCGGTGCCTTGGATTTCTACGGCTCCACGGTGGAGAACTTTTACCTCAGAATGGATCCGACGCGGGGCGACTCGCGCTACAACCTGAACTACTCGATGAGTAGTATCGGGCTGAGCCTCTCCGATCCCTCGGACATGTACGGCAACCCGGCGGTGGCCGCCCTGGGCGCCCGCCCGCCCTCCGGCGGCCTCCTCCAGAGCATGGGCGGCGGCGCAAGCGGCGGCGGCGGTGTACCGTCCATGCAGCGGCCAAATCCCGCCACAGGAGCCACAGCCGCCCAGTGCCAGACCCTACACAGCCCCCAGCACGCCTCCCAACAGCAGCAGCAGCAGCAACAGCAACAACAGCAGCAGCAGCAACACCAGCAGCAGCAGCAACAACAGCAGCAGCAACATCGCGGACTGAAGCGATCGGGAAGCGATTGCTACGAGGATCACCATCGATCCGCCGGCGGACTGACGCTCCAGGGACTCGACAGCGTCGCCAGCAGCGCCGGCGGCGTCGAGGACAACGTGGATGGCTACAACCCGCTGCCCAACAAGAAGTCACCGCCCGCCAACGGCAAGAAGACAAAGGGACGTGTCAAAATCAAAATGGAATACATCGACAACAAGCTGCGTCGCTACACGACCTTCTCCAAGCGCAAGACGGGCATCATGAAGAAGGTAAGCTCCTAGATCCCAGCTCCCAGCTCCCGATCCCCATTCCCATATTGGCCACGATTGGGCCTGCAATTGGGATGTTGACATTGGGCCACGTTTCCAGCGCATGTGCAATTAATAAATGCTTGGGTTAGACTTCGTCGGAGTCCAAAGCTCCTTGGGAGCAGCAGGGCTGCCTGGCATTGTTCTCCGACTCTCTTCTAGGCTCTGCAGAGAGCGGTGCTTTATCGTCATGTGGCCATCGGGCACAGTGGTTCAGTTTTAAAGAGGGTTCCAATAGGAAAAACATGGGGAAGTATAGGTATTTTTTATCTTATCTTTTTGTTGTAAGTAGTTGACTTTTTATAGGAAAATTACTAAGTTAAACAGAGGTGACAAACTTCGTTTCATATATGTATTTTGTCTCTTTTAATAATAATGACAGAATTTTAAACCTTCAAATCGGACAATAAAAACCTTATTATTCAGTTTAGTACACTCAAGATTATAAGGGATTTTTAGTAAATATCAAATAAATATAATATCCAAGAACCACTGTCCCTGTGAAGTTCCCTCGCTCAGTTTTAGAACAGTAGCCACCAAGATCCTCCTCTGCTTTTCGCCCGAATCGCGTCTGCCGGCTGTTGGCTTTGGCTCTTTGGCGGCGTTGTGTGTAAGCACGGTAGCCCACGATTCCGCATTTCCCTTTGTTTTCGGCTTCATAAAATGTTAATTTGCCGCCGCAATTGCATTCAAAGGAGGCCTACCAGTTAGTTGCTACCCCGGCCCCCCATTTCCAGTTCCCAATCCCAATCCCAATCCCTCCCCGCCAGCAATTGATGCGTGCCGTGCTCCTGGCTCTCGCTGCAATGCGGCCGCCAGTGCCTTGGTATTTTCAAATGACCAATTTTCACACGCAAACTTACATAATGCCACCACATTTGCTGCTCTCCTGCTCCTGCTCCTGCTGCTTTCCATCGATCTGGCGGCTGCATATGAAATTTTTCACATTTTTTAAATAGACCTTTTCTGGTCGCAACAGAAACCAAGCCCGCGATCAAAATCAGACACAAAAAGCATCAACATCGCGGCGCTAAATCACGATCTCAGCACGATCTTTGGCCAAGACACAAAATCTTATGAAATATTTGACCCAAGCAAGCCAAAAAACCAATACGTTGTAGGAGCTTTAAAAAAAAATGTACAAAATATTTAAGAAATCGAATTAGGAAATACTCTTGAAAAGTATTAGTTAAAATAGGCTTTAAAGTATTTTTTTTTAGTTTTAATAATGCTTATTTGGGATTTTTCCATATTTTGTATCCTTAGAAATAGTGTCACAACATAACCAGAAGTTCGTACCCTATTCTTTCATTTTACAAAGTAAGCCAGCTCCCTACATCCCCCATTACCAAAAGGGTATCCATAATATTTGACCCCTGGGACGACAAAGGTTCTCCTCCTTGCTTGTTCTCGGGGGCCAAACTTATGACAGGCGCACGCCCCGAGACAAAATCGCGATTCTATATATATATGTCTCTCAAAAAAATACAAACCAAAAAAATATATATCGTTTTGGTGACTTTGATGCGGTCCCTCATCGATGTCCAGCCGGCGGACAGTTGACAGGCAGACAATGGGATTGCGACTTGGCGCTACCAGCAGCGGCTGGAGCAAAAAGCGAAAAGGCAATCTGCAATCCGCCATCCGCCATGCGCAATCCCTAGCAGCAGCCGTAGCAGCCAACAAATTGCGGCCAATGAACTTGGCCCAGAGAGTGGTCACAACGACAACCTGTTGGCATGCTTTCCCGCTGGCCAATTTTGGTCATTTCGATCCGTTGCGAGCACAGATCTTTTTGGCGTGGGCGGGCGGCGGCGGTAGTGTGGTAGTAAGGGTGGCCAAAAAAGGCCACAAAAGTGAAAAGTGAGCTAATGTCCAGATCAGAAGTGATCTCATTTGTTGGCCAGCCTAATTGCGTGGGCTCAGGCGGATCGATTCGATTCCATTTGAACGGCAGCGAAAGCGCTCCTGCATAATGCACAACAAGCCCATCGACAAGTTCCCAACAATTGGCCATGGCCAAAAGGGCGCAAGCATGAACGCAGCCACAGGCACAGGCGCAAAATGCCGCCAAAAGGTGTTAAATTGAAATCACGAGGCAGCGAGCTTGGCTTTGGCTTTGGCTTGGCTTGGGAATTGTTTTCGGGGGCCCCAGCAGCAGCACGGAAGCTTCACCATCGGCGGCAGATTGTGCCCAGATAAGCCCCTAAAGCCGGGCCAGAGAGGCTCCTCCATGGCTGGGCCGTGGCGGCTCGCCTTTTGGCCACATGCAACACATGCATGCAGCCAGGCAGGCAGCCTACAAAACAGGCAACAATCGGTTTCTAACAAATGACTCTCCATCTGGTCGGAGCAGCAACAGTCTCTGGGGCTGTGCCTTCTTGTCCTGTCAACGCTTGCCCTCACCCTTACCCTTAACCAATCCTCGCCAGTGTCGTGTCCTTTTGTCTTTGTTCGAAATTCAAATTGACATGAATTGTTGGCTTGCTCGGGTCCCTGGCTGTTCGGGACCTAGGCTCACATACAATCGACACCTACTCAGAATCGGAGGAATCGAAATCGAAATCCGATTCAGATTCAGATTCCGCATTCGGACCGTGTCAATTGTTTGCATTTACACATGTTACACATAAAATTGGCAGCCAATCGATGTGTCTTGGAGTGGGGGAAACCCCCAACCCAAACCCATTCCAGACCAATCCAATCCAATCCGATCCGAGGCGATCCCAATCCGAATCCCAATCCCGAGGCTCGCCAACAATGTGTACAACAATTTCATTAATATTAATAAATGTTCCCGAAGCGTTCGCTTCTTGCCAGTTATTTATGCGCTCTGCTCCGCTCCACGGCGGAGTAGCAAAAACTGTTGTTGCCCGCCAGCCAGTCAGCCAGACAGCGACTTTACCGCTTTTATAGTAATTACGAGCTGTTGATAGGCAGCTTAGGCTACCGTCTAATGTGCAGCAGCAGCACTGGGTCTAGGTGTTATCCAGCACGGAGAGCACCATCGCGATGGTTGCGTGACTTCTGGGCCATTTGCGTGGGTGGAGTGTAGGGTTCGACTTGCAGACTTTGCACACACGAAATGGGCCCTGGCGTGATCCAGTTGCCTTTATGGGAGATTAAGCTTGTTTTACAAAACATATATATCAATTGTTGTGACGCCACAAAAGCTGAAAAGTAGGGCAATAATATTTTATTTTGATGGCTGAAATAGAAACAAGAAAGTCTCGATCACAAAACTTATTCAGGCTAATATGTCGTTGCCTAGGTCTGCTTTATTCAATTTCAGCTGAATCACCTGAATACTTAATTTTAGAACAGAAAACCTAGCCGTAGAAACGTTCATATATGAAGGCATTTTGCACAGGAATTTAATTTTAGAATTTATTTTAGTTATTTTGGCGAAGCTATGGGGTCCATTTAATTCTAAAACCTTTAACTTTTGTTTTAGAAAGTCTGATTAAATCTAAATAATTTTTAAATATTTTTAACTTGCCTTTAAATTAAACAAACTCTTAATTTAAATCTTAATTTTCCCTATTTTTAAATCCAATCTCTCGTTGAGTCACGCTCCCATCTCTGGTAATTTAAAATCCAAGCGGTCCACGCTTAGACTCCTCTCCTTATCGCCGCAACATAATCGCATAGTTTGGTGGGGAAATTTATGTGCCGCTTGGCCAACACACGCGTCGACAGTTTCCGCGGCCAGATACCCAATCCTGATACCGATACCGAACCGATACCATCGAGTACTTAACACGATCCTCTCTGACTCACTTCCTCTCTCTTGTTTCCTGCAGGCCTACGAGCTGTCCACGCTGACCGGAACGCAAGTGATGCTGCTGGTGGCCAGCGAAACAGGCCACGTGTACACATTTGCCACGCGCAAGCTGCAGCCGATGATCACCTCGGAGGCGGGCAAACAGCTCATCCAGACCTGCCTTAACTCGCCGGATCCGCCCAGCGTTGGTGGCGGCGATCAACGGATGTCGGCCACCGGCTTCGAGGAGACGGAGCTCAGCTATAACATCGCCGATGAGGACTCCAAAGTAAGACAATTGATTTACGGTCACCATGGGCACGCTCATCTGGCGCACCCGCCGGCACCGCCCTCGCACTACAGCCTCGAGCAGAGTCTGATGCAGTCCGGCTATAGTGGAGGCCAGGCGTCGCCCCTGTCCCACGCCCAGGCCTACGGCGGACATGCGCACCATGCGCATGTACCGCACGTGCCGCCGCCGCATTCGACGCACTCGCACATGTCCCACACGCATGCGCAGCGCTAAATCCGGATGAGATCCGTGATCCTCGTATTTCTCTAGGCAATATCTGGGACTTGGTTTCGGTGGACAGCCTGTTAAGTGGTTCTTTAATCCTAATTAGACTCGACAACATTCCAGATCATTTTAAGTATAATTTTCCTGATTAGAAATGAGAAATCTGTATTAAAAGTTCAAGAAACATTCATTTAAAAGCTCAAAAAGACATCTTTTGAAAGTAACAAGCAGGCTTCAAAAAACTTCTACCTTCGTAAACATCGCCAAACCGCTTAATTGGTTTTTTAAGTTAAAAAACAATGTCTAAACTTAAACCACACCTCAGTGCTGTTCCGCAAAAACCAAGCCAGTTTTTAGTTAGACAGCAGTTTATATATGTTTAGCAGATCCAAAGTGCAGCAAATGGCTCGATCGAACTTCGATACTCGTATTTCGGATCCATGGCCAATACGATCTCGCCGCTCGTTTTGTTCTTGTTTACCGACCGCAGTGTTTTGTGTTTATAAATGTATTTTTTTTTTTTTTATTTTTTGTATACTAGTCAAGACTCTTACTTAAAGGCGACTGTGCCATATCAAAGCTACAGCTCAGCTCCTCCATGTACATCCAATAGCAATAGATCAATTGTCGCATCAGCTGCAGCTCCTAAAACCCAGTGCCATTCTACCGAACCGAACTAGAGACGGACACATATCGAGACACAGCCGAGACTGCTTTAGTTAGTCCTTTTTATTACCGAGTAAGTGCAATAACATAGCTAGAGGAGGGAGGAGTAGGAGGAGGAGAGTCAGAAGAGGAACCACTAGAACTAGGGGAAACTTTCCCTTCCGTAAAGAATAAAGATTTGCTGGACAGAGTCTAAAGGGTAAACAGCTCGAGTGTGCTGCGTTTACAATACTTAGTGAACAAGTTGATATGTTAGCAAATAAATAAAACAAATACAAATGTCGAATGCGCCGGCGGCCATTTTCCATTTTCCTGAATCCCCGGGTCCGTGTGTGTGTGTGTGTTTGCGAGTGTGATGAGCGTGCTCAATAAAGTTTAAGCGTATTTTCCGGACTCGTTTAGCCTAATGTTAGTAGTTTATACTTTACGACTTTGTAGTTTTGTTTATTTGATTGATCCCGCCCCTAAAATTGGCTTAAAGTATTTCCAACTGACCTCTACTAATTGGAATGTTGCATGATTAAAGTTAAAGACTTTGTGCAACATAGCCGCCACTTACTCAACTTTGAGCTGTTTGCTTTACGACTCTTTCTACTAATATTTATTGTACATTTAAATTTAAAATACCAAATTAAAAAACAGCTCAAAGCCGCACAAAAAATCAAGTTAAATTTAATTTATTACCCTATGTTTACTCTCTCTCACACACAATTATTTAATATTAATTACCGATCACATTTCTGTCAAACAGAGAGCAAAGCAACGTAATTCTCTTAATACTAGTTAAATTTATTATTTAATGGATCGTGCAATTCGCCGAAGCAATAACCCTAAAGCAATTTACCCCATAAGCGATCGAGAAATATGTTTAAAAAACAAAACCACAAAATAGTATCTACACAAGAAGTATATAAATATATGAACATATATATATATTATTTAGCGCAATATTATAAAATAATAAACAGAAAACAACAAAAATCCGATACAGGAATGTATGCTGTACGATGTAAAAGCTGTTTCAAGAGCAAGGTTAAGAGCATTGAGATAAGCCCCAAAAGCCCAGACCCCGAATCCCCAGCTCCGAACCCAGGTCCAACGTTTCTATTACTTAGCCTACACACCGCCGCAGATATTAGACGAAATCTGCGAGTGGGCTGCAACTCCTCTATGAATGAATTTCTGTGTTTTTATTCGAGCATATATATATATTTTTTTGTCGATCTTTTCTGCGTTTTCCTCTCGATGTTTTGTAAAGAGCTTCCGCTTCCACAGCCGTAGAGCTGACGGAGTCCGTCTTGTGTGTGGGGCCTGTGACGCCACGGCGACGAGTTCATAAATCGATCAGAGCCACCAGGGGGACTCTCGTCATGCACCAACAGCCATTCAGTCAGTCAGTCGGTTGGCTCCCTCTTCCTCCGCCGCTTGGCTTGGCATGCAAATCGCGTTTTGTGGCTCGTACTTTTCAATGCCAAAAGCCTCTCGGCGTAGGCACAAACACACACACTGTGCTTCCACTGCCTCGATGACGTGTGCCACCGCGATCTCCTGTACCCTCTCTTTCGGTGGCTCAACCTCAACTTGGCGCAGCGCACAGCTCCACTCCAGTCAGTTCAGCATTTTCCATTCAGCATGGGCCGATGAATGAACGCCAAAATGTTGTGGGTGTGACACCAACGCCGGCTCAGGTCATCAGTTGTTGTTGTCTACACACAAAGAAAATTATGGTAATTTTGTAGCCTCATTTAAAGGCAATATATTATAGAGTATTCGTCATAACTCGATGATTTTTGGGGGTCTTTATTTGTTGAGAAAATAAAAGAAATCAAATGAAATCGTTTCTTAAATATTATCATGGAAAGGAAATACTTTAGTGTTGGAATAATCACAACGTTTTTCGTTTGCAAATTTTTTCCTTGTGTAAACCCCTTGACTGCTGGCTGACTGCCAGCTGACTTGACTGATAATATTCATAACTTGTACCGCTGCTGCTGTAGGTCGTTCCGCCGCCGCCAACTCTTTGTCCAGCCAAGGTTAATTGCCGACTTGCAGTGGGCTGAGAGCTCAGCTGCTGTTTCGCAGTTGGCCAACACATTTGCTAACTCACATTATGTACGTTATATATCAGCATCGAGAGTGCGATCCATCGATCTGCGCGGGTGTCTTGGCTACATAGATTACCTTCTATGGTCGCTCACCTGCGCATCATCATCATCATCATCATCCAAACCGCCCACGTGGCCCAACCAATAAAAAAATAACAATAAAAACACTGCAAGTTTGTTGGCTTTTATGATTTTGTATTTATTTCAAAATTTTATTTGTTTTGCGTGATTAGTTTTCAACAAATTGAGGGTTGAGAGCGATTAAGTGTTTAGATATTTAACAGTTTTCATAGTTCTGAACTGATTTACTGGGGAACTATTACAATATATATTGTCAAGGTTGATTAGGCGAAGTCTCTGGAAATTTCAACTGATTAAAAGTTGGCCTAATTGCTTAACAAAGTTAAGGGTAAAATCATAATTGAAACTTCTTACTTTGTTCCCAAATTAAACAAAAAACCCTTTAGTTTTTCTTAGTTTTGGCTGTACTACTTCTTCCCACCTCTTGTTTCTGCCTTCTGAAGTCATCCCAGCTAAAAAATAAAATAAAAACCATCCTAAATTGAACCTCTGGCCCTGTTTTTCTACTCCTGAGAAGAGTGGGAGCCCTGGGTGCATATCAGTTTGAGAAATTAAAAGCATTTTGCGGTTTCGTTGACTATCGAGGCTGCGTGCCGCTCGAGCCTCTAACGACATTTCAATGATTTGCTGTTTGGCTGCCGTTGCTGCTCCTGCTCCTGCTCCCGCTCCTGTCTCTGCTTCTGCTGCTGCTCCTACTGGGGGGATGTGGCCACGTGCGCAGCACAAGACGCAGATGCAGACGCAGACGAAGGAGGACAAAAGCATTTGCAATGCTCGTCGATTACGTACGAGGGCGACCTCTGTCAGCCAGCAGCAGCCGCGGCAGCGTCCAGATGTCCACATGTCCAGCTGTCCGAAAGCCACCAACAACGCAGCCACGCAAAGAATCTTTCGGCCAGTTTGCGGATTTTGTGTTTAAGCCGCCGCTTCAAGTTCTAACCGCATGCCGCCACAATGTCCTCTTAATTTCCTAGTCGCCGCAGCTGCGCGCGCGCGCGCTCTCCACGCGATGATATCGCCGACGATCCTCCTGCAGGGGCCAGACTCCAGCCAGGCTCCCCTCTTCTCCCTCTCTACCCATTCCCGGCCAGCCGTCGTCCTCTGTCTGTGCGCTCGTTTTTTAATTCAACTGATTGTACTGCAGCTTCTGGAATTCGGCATTTCTTAAAGCCCGCGCGCACACACATTGTGAGTCGGCAACTTCTGGCGACCGATCGGCCACTGGGCAACTTGCAACTGGCAACTTGCAACCTCCAACTCCTTCTCCTCCTGGTGCTGCTCCTGCCGCTTCTGCGCCGCCTTCGCAATCTGAAAAGGTTAAGAAATGACAATTTGTGAGCGCTTTTTTCTTTGGTTCAGTTCGGTTTCGTTTCGTTTTGTTTTGTTTTTCCCTTTTATTCCCTGTGTATTGTGTTTTTATTTATTTTTTGTTTGTAGCCTGTCCGGCCCGGCCCGCTTTCATTGTGATTATTTAAAAGCCAGTCTGAGGGACCTTAACGAGGCGCTTTCGGCCTTTCAGGACTCACATTTAGTTAAGCAATTATTGGCCGCAATGCAAACAAATAATGCGTACATTGTGCCTGCTCGTTCCTCTTCTCCTCCCGGGACTTAGTCCAATGATTTTCCAAGTTAATCAAAATTCTTTGCTATCCACGTTGAAATCTCAGCGACCTTCCTCCTCATCTCCCCTGTGTCTGTGTCTAGAGCTCTTCTAGCGCCGCTGAGCCACGCCCAATGCAACGCCCATTCAGTGGAGCGTGGCAGAGGAAACTTATAGTTTTTTATTTGGATTTTCCTATAGCCAAGCTTACCGCTCCCCGCCTTAGCTACTTATATAGGCAAAGGCAGCTCCGCTTCACTGACCAATTTATGGCTGAGAATATTTCTTTTTTTTCTTTCCACCGATGTCTTTTGGTTGCC